TGCTTTGAGTTACACAGAAGCCATTGAATTAAAGACGAGGTGACTGCATGGAACATGCCTAGGACCAAATGTTGATGAGAAATCCAGAGCTGATAAAACGAAGCTGAAGGCTTAGGTTAAGGTTAGGGAGAGGCAGTTGCTCTGTGGCAAAGAGGAGGGGCACACCAGGTAGAGGAAAGAACCTGGGCAGAGGCTTAGAAGTGTGAGCAGGTGGGGCCAGTGCAAGGCGCACAGGCAGCAGCATCTTTGGGGGCAGAGCAATGGGTCCTGTGGACTCACCAGCCCAGCAGGAGGCAAGAATAGAGAGGGTAAAGCCAGAAAGCAAGGGCTTTTGTGGTCCAGCATGAGGAGTTTCAAGAGACTCCTCTAGGCGGTGGGAAGTGCATAAAAGTTTCTGGTTATTGGTAAGTGAAAATAAGATTTAAAATACACATATAAGAACCTTAGTTCAATACCATTTTCATGTATACATCTAGAATCTATCCTATCACTGTGCATACACTCAATATGTAAAACAATATATACACGGGCTTCCCTGGTGGCACAGTGGTTGAGAGTCCGCCTGCCGATGCAGGGGACACGGGTTCGTGCCCCGGTCCGGGAAGATCCCACATGCCGCGGAGCAGCTGGGCCCGTGAGCCAGGGCCACTGAGCCTGAGCGTCCGGAGCCTGTGCTCCACAACGGGAGAGGCCACAACAGTGAGAGGCCCGCGTAGCACAAAAATAATAAAAAAATAATAATATATACACATACAATTTAGTACTTAGTTTTTTTCACTTAGCCATATACATCCTAACACTTTCATATTAGCAAACATTTACATGTATGCTGGGAAAATATTGATGATATATAGCAATCAGTAAGCAAAAGGAAATTAATATATAAATTTATTTTTTAATATAATCTATTTTATTCTCTAACTAAAATTCTATGACAAAACTGCTTATCAAGTGATATGAATTATCATAAATTGCTCACGCAAATGTTGCAAGAATAACTTCCAAAAGTTTTGTACACCAGGGAGTGAATCCCTGATGTAAGTTTCTGTAGGCAGTTTGTAGTGGTGGCCCAGGGCTCTACCCGACAAGGGGACAGAATGTGGTCTTAGGACAAAGGTGGACAGCCAGCAGGTCTGGGGCAGAGCCCAGGTCAGAAGAAATAGTTCCAAACTCCTACCTCTGCTGATCGATCAAGAACCATCTCCCTGTACCCATCCTGCCCTTCACCCCCACTCCAGCACTGGAACTCAGAGAAGGGTTTTATTGATTTATCTTTCCCTTGGGGACAGTTCCAAGAGGAGACTGAGCTGCAACCCCTACTGAAGTGGGTAGAGAAATACCCAAGTGCCTGTGCTCGCTGGCTGTGGGGGACGAAAGCCCTGGTGTTGATCTATGACCCTGACTACATGAAGGTGGTCCTGGGGAGATCAGGTGAGAGGGAAACCCACATCCCAGCAGGAGAAAATCTTCCCTCTTGGGTACATGGCCCTGGATCTGTGAAATTCCAGAAGAAATTGGCACTTCAGCCATCAATACCTGGCTCCCTACCAGCCATCCTTGCAGCCCACAAGCCAGACTAAGGCCAACATTACTCACAGTGAATGCTTAAACACCTGGGTGGGGCTGGCTTCTCTTTTCTGTCTTACTTTCTTTCTTGTTTTAACCCAACTGAGATGATCCCAGGTCTGGAAGACAATTCCCTGTCCACACTGATGTAGGTTTGGCACCTCTCACTGTTGCCTGTCCTGGGTCATGAAATGGCCAAACCACCACAAGCTGTAGGAAAACCACAGGCTCCTTTCTTACTCTGTGGCGCTGAGCAGAGCCTAGCTTTCTTGCTGATTCACCGTCTTAGTCCTGTGGGTGTTCTGCTGCTGGGACACTGAGCCTGCCTTCCTGGGCCCACAGTGACCATCAGGACACAGAGAGTCAGGGATGGGAGGCAAGAGGGAGGTGGCTTGAGACAGACTGCCGGCTGACCAGCATCAGGAATGGAAGGTGCCACAGCTGCTCTGGGGGCTGCCTGCCTTGTTCGGTGCCCTCCACTTTCCTTCCTTCCCTTTCAGACCCAAAGTCTCACGATTCCTACAGAATGCTGATCCCCTGGATTGGTAAGTACATTTAAATACAACTGCAGTCCACCCACCAGTTAGGTTTACCAAGAGCTACCTCTTTGGTTAATGGAGAACAACGGGTACCAGGCATCCTGTCACCACCTCATCTCTCAGTCAAGCCTCATTTCTCTCCTTCCAGTAAAACTCTCACCCTTTGTAATGATGCTGAGAGCCCTCCTGAAGCTCAGCCTCTTCTTCATCACTTCTCAGTCCTCTGCGATATTCTCAGCCTGACTATTAACTAATTCCTTCTATCACCTGCACCCCTACTCTTTTGCAACCTCTGTCTCACAGCTGTCATAATCACATCCTATGGACCAGCCATTTTGGAAATTCACATTCCTGAACTATACTGTCCTTTCCTACCTTTGCCCATGGTGTGTCTTTTCCTGACACCCTTGGTTCCTCCCAAGTTGTGCCCAGTCGTCCCTCTGATCCAGTCTCCCCGACCCACACACACACCCATCTGTGGCCCAGGGAATGGTTTGCTCGTGTTGGAGGGGCAGACGTGGTTCCAGCACCGGCGGATGCTGACCCCAGCCTTCCACTATGACATCCTGAAGCCCTACGTGGGTGTCATGGCCGACTCTGTCCGAGTGATGCTGGTGAGTCTATCCCTCGTCACCTGGACACACTCATATCCAGCACAGCTGACAAAGTCCACTCTCAAGGGCTTCCCTGGTGGCGCAGTGGTTGAGAGTCCTCCTGCCGATGCAGGGGATATGGGTTCGTGCTCCAGTCCAGAGGATCCCACATGCCGCGGAGCGGCTGGGCCAGTGAGCCATGGCCGCTGAGCCTGCGCGTCCGGAGCCTGTGCTCCGCAATGGAAGAGGCCACAACAGTGAGAGGCCCACGTACCGCAAAAAAAAAAAAAAAAAAAAAAGTCCACTCTCAAACCGTTGTGTCCCTCAGGCATCCGTCAGACACAGCCCCCAGAATTATGCATTCAGAACGTACTCTGAGACCGTGCTCACCAAAACTGGATGGGACAGAGGGGTATCCCAGCACCAGATTGGATCCAAGGAAAGGGAAGGCAGGTCCATGGTGTATTGAGAGTCCACTCTCCTCTCACCTCCACATCTTCAACACAAAGGAAAGAGTAAGGGTCATTCCCCTGGACAGCAGTGCAAACTGCCCCTGGCTGCCCTGGACAATGGCAGCTTCAGTGGTAGAGTGGGCATCCCAGGATGTCACTCAGATAGACTCTGGCATGGAGTCCAGGGCCTCTGCATGGAATTGAGCCACTCATGGGAGGAAATGAGGCCAGGTTTACACTCAGAGAGCTGGGTCTTCATAAGCATCACCTCTCATCCGGACTGGGCACCACCTGGTCTCAGCTAACATTAAATGAATAAAAGGAATTGAAGTACCTCATGTCCCTTCCTAGGAGCCCAGTAGAGCCCCATAAGCTTTTCCTTGCCTTGAAATATTTGCATACCAGTGTTGGGCATCACCTGTCCAGTTCCAATCTCAGGACACAGAAGACTCCACATTTGTTCCCTGAGAAATTATGCTTTCTGGCCTCCCACAAGGTGGTTATGATCAACACTTGTTCCTAAACTTTGGAACTAATACAGAATATTATGAGAGACCATGATTAATTATATAATAAAAGATTCTGAGAAAATAGACGTCACATTACACATGTGTGATACAGCCTAAATTGCTAAAACACATCTGCTTACAAAGTGAGGAAAACTCATCCAAAGATTTAGAGAGACGGAGAGAGAGCCTGGCCTTGTCAGCGCAGGTCTTCTGGGAGAGCAGAGCAGGGTCAATGTCCCCCTCCCACCACAGGACAAGTGGGAGGAGCTCGTCAGCCTGGACTCGCATCTGGAGGTCCTTGGACACGTCTCCTTGATGACCCTGGACACCATCATGAAGTGCGCCTTCAGCCACCAGGGCAGCATCCAGACAGACAGGTCAGTGACAACCCTTCAA